TAGATCGAGGTCTCCGTTTTGCCGCACACGGCACCCAAAAATTCCAAAAGATGAGAGAGAGCAATTTGAAACTGGAAATTTGTGAACAAAAGAGAAAGAAAAAGAGAAGAAAAGTGAGGGAGAGAGAGCTTACAGGGAAAGAGAGAGAGAATGAGACCAAATATGGTCTATTGGCCACTAAAATATGCCCCCCCCCCCCCCCCCCCCCAACCAAAACAAAGATTTTTTTTTTTTAACATTAAATTTCTACCACAAATTCACATATATGAGCTACTTATATTACAACCACACAAAATGACACATAACAGTATAAATATGCACAAAATAATTTTGCATGGTATGCAATGGAGCCGTGACAGCACTCTCGTGTACAACAATTCCGGTAACGGGTCCCACCCGGGACCGTCCGGCCCAAAAAACAGAAAAATGTCGAAATAGCAACCATTACATTTTTAGGAACCCTAAACTCAAAGAAATGCCCCAACCAACTCTCGCACACACCCGACACACCCCACAGTGTCCGATACGCAAAACGAAAAAAAAACAAAAATGCCCTCGCAAAATCGAAAAATTTCAGAAAATGAAAAATAGTGAAAAACAGAAATATTACAATATATATATATATATATATATATATATATATATATATTATATTCGTTTTCCTTTTTTTCCTCCTTAATTTATTCCTTTTATTTCCCTTCTTTCCTCCTTGATTTATTCCTTTTGTTTCCCTTCTTTCTTCCTTGATTTATTCCTTTTGCCAACTTTATTTCTTATATATTGTGTATCAATACAATGTAAACGTATCAAGAAATACAATTAATAAGAGAAATGTAGCCTCAGTAGCTCTTGATCCATGAATGTAGGCCTTAGTACCGAACCATGTACATGCTGTGTTATCTTTCTCTCTTCCATATTCCTATTTTACATCTTATTTTTTCGCATCCTAAATTTAACAGACACATCAATTATAAGGAGAGGTTACTCATTGTAGGTGAGGATGGAAGCATTATTATGCAATTAATTGCATGGTTTCTTTTGAAATTTCAAAACTAAGCACACAAAGTATATATAAAGATTCATAATTTAATTTTCAATTTTTTTAAAAAAATCAAGAAATTACATTTTTTTTTTATATTGACTTTTCTAATGGCGTTTAGTTTGAGACAACGAGTAGTTAATATTTCCATTGCAAAACTAACATTGAACTTTCTTAATCAAAAAGTAAAGTAATATTTTGTTGGAACATGTTTCAAAATATATAATTATTTTTATAAAAAAATTTAAAATAATTTTAAAATATATTTATTTCCTATTTTATAACACAATTAACAAATTATCTAGTTAGTAGATGACGATTAGGAGTTTCAATTTTGCACATGAGCGCATGTGAAAAGGCACTCTTAACATAACTGGAACACCTTAAAAGGGCAGCTTAAGGAGAGCCCATATGAGATAACTTGAGAGCAAGTCTTTCTAATAGAGTAAGAAAGGGATAAATCCGGTGAAATACCGAATTCGAATTTCGGTGAGACTCCGGCAAAGGTTACTTTGTTTCAATTATTAGAATTGAAATTCCGCAAAATTTTTTGTAACCAAATTATGAAATGCTAAACATTCCACGTTGGTACATTCGATATCTATATATATTGATATATGTTTTCAAAAATAACTTCTTAAATTATATTTTATTTTGAATTATTAATTGGACGGAGATAAATACATGAATTCATAAAGGGTGTCACTCAATAGACATATTGTTGAATCTGGCTTAATTGAATCCCAGAGATAGTGTTGCCAATTTGATATTCCGATTGAGGTTTCAACTATCTTCAAAAAGCGATTACACGTCTCTAAGTCTTGATTTAAAATTATAATTAATTTTTTTATTTATATTTTTGAAATATTATTATTTATCACATATTTTTTTATCTATGTGATTATTTATTCTTAACATTGCATATATTGTCATTTATGTGATACGATTCCCACATATTTGAACCTAACCCAACTTATAATATAAGCCCAACCCCAAATTTAAAACATGACCGTTGGCCATTAACTTGCAGGAATGGTCTTGTGCAGCCGTCAATCCGGTGGTCGTGGAGGTGGTCGGAGAACTGAAGCCGGAAACCCCATTCAACTATGATGTGTTGTGCGGATACATAATTGGGGAAGGAACATAACAATTTGAGTCTTATATCAAGAATGATATTCCATTTACATGTTTGGAACAAATTGGATTTAAAAGTTGAATTTAAAATGAGATTTGGAATAAAAGTAATATTATATTATTTTTGCCTTTTTTAAATAATAAATGAAATATTTATTTTATTAAAAAAATACACCCTAAATTTACATCAAGTACGTAGACAAACAACGGGGGAAATAAATTGTGGAGAGACATTGCGCAAGGAGAGTTTTGATGGACACATGACAAACTGTGCTTTGTTTCCGTAAATTTTCCATTTCTTTTTCTTTTATTTTTACTTTTTTTTCCAATCACTTAAATGTCCCTTTTTAGGAAGAAAAAGAAAAATAAAATTAATTCCTTCTATTGCCATATTTCATTAATTAACAAAGGAGGAAAGATTTATTGAACACCAGACTATATGGAGAGCAACATCAATCATTTTGCATCAGGATTTACAGTGTTCTCTCTGTATATGTATATATATATATATATATTTCTTAAATAGATGTATGTGTTGAATTTTTTTAAAAAAAATAAACCATTTTGGGGTCCTTTGAATTATATTTATATATTCTGAATTTAACTAAATCATTAAATCTTTGATGGATTGAGTTAAATTTGTCTATTTTTGTGGTTAGATTGACAGCATTACTATTGTTGGATCATGTGCAATATTAGTGAGCCATAATCGCCACAATCACTAATACGAAAAGGAGGTGTGGATTTGGGTAAGTACGATTTTCAGATCCGTTGAATGGGAGGTTAGTCACCAAAGTTCTTACTTTTTATTTTATTCAATACCCTAATTCTATTACAATAACATTCTTATTTAGATGAATTAAGAAAATAAATAAGAAAATAGCATAGTACCTAAAGTAATTAAATACGAACATAATTAAATACTCCCTCCAACCCATTATAAATGTCCACATTCAAAATTCACACATTTGAAGACACTAGCTTTTATTACATTGGTTTCCAAATTTATCCCTTTTAAATGTTATTCTTTGATGGGGTCCACCATTTTGACACTTCAATGTGTTTTATCTTTTAGGGGTAAATTAGGAATGTTAATAAAAATAGTGCATTGATTTTTGAAATGGGACAACTATTATGGGACAACCAAAAATAGAAAAATGGACTACTAATATGGGACGGAGGGAGTACTAATTGGTATTAGTTTCCTAACATTCCACCCCTCTTGAATCAACACTTGTCCTCAAGCCAAAAAATCTAGCCCGCATCATGAAGTAATGGTTGAGAATAGGGCTACAAATGAGCCGAGCTGTTCATGAACAGCTCGGGCTCGGCTAGTTAAGGGCTCGGCTCGGGCTCGTTCATTAAGCAAACGAGCCGAGCTCGAGCCCAATATTTAGGCTCGTTTAGTAAACGAGCCGAGCTCGAGCAACGCTGGGCTCGGCTCGCTTAGGCTCGTGAACATGAGCTCGTTTAGGCTCGTTAATGTTCGTGAACAGAGCTCGTTTAGGCTCGTTAATATTTATATATGTAATATATATTATATATATATATATATGATTTTATTATAATTTATAACATAAGTACCCAAAAGAAAATAAATTAAATTATAAACTATTGCAGATTTGCACACCTGTCAATTGATTAAAACTTACCTTATCTCTTTGAAATCTCAAATCTTATCTGTTACTGTTGGGAAATCTCACGAGGGTTAATTTTATCTCCATCTGGCATCTTCCCTTATTCATTCTCCAACAAACTTCCCTTATTCATTCTCCAACAAAGACGATTTATTGAATTATTGTGACTTGTGAGGCTTGATCTTCAGTTCCCCAGTTCCGTCTTCTGGACTTTGGAGTGAGCGAATTGTGAGGCCTCTTCTTCGAAAGTCCTTTGGGGCTAACCAGTTACCTTGCCTGAAGGTTGACAATCTCGTCTCGATCTAGACTGCCGCAAGATAAGTTACAGGGAATTTTGGAACAGATCAAAGAAGCTAATCTCTTGGTGTTTCAGACATCAGAGGAAATTGAGGCTGAATCTTTGCTTTTGGTAAGAAATCCTAATTTATTTATTTTATTATTCTTTATTTTTTTTGGGTGTGGATTCAACCATTCTGTTCTATCTCGTGAATTAGTTCTTTACAGATTAGTGGGGAAATATCTATTTCAATTTTTCACCCTCCAAGTGCGAACTGTGAGAGAGAATTTTTTCCTAATTTATTGATTCAATTTTTTACTTCCCGAATTCGCAATGATTTCTTGTTATTATATTATATATGGATAATTACACATAACATTTTACATTTATTATATTATATCTGAACAATTAGATCCGACATTTTTTTTTAGATATTATGATGTGCTAAATTATGTAAAAAAAATTGAACTCAAACTGGACATTAATTTGATACAGTGGTAGGTGTTTAGTAATTGATGAATTTGATTGCATGTGTTTGCAATGTCATGTCATCGCACAAGGTATATGTGGGCTGTGTTTTAGTGATGTTTCTTGTTGCCATGTCAATTGAGCTGGAGACATTCAATAGCTCCCAGCACAGACACTTGTAGGTCTTCACTCTTCACACTTACAAAGACTAAATTATAACTAAAGTTTGCAGTCACAGTACGAACCTTTAATTATATTATATGTTTGGATGTTCTCTCTCCTGTTAAATATCTTCTTCCAACCCTTTTACAGATTTTGCCAATATATCTTATTTAGCATCTCTTTGGATTTAAGTTTTACTCTATCATTTTCTTTTTCTTTTTTTTCTTTTTTCTTTTTTTTTGATACTGTAGTAGTTTTTTTTTTTAATTTTTTATATACAGCTATGTCAAATGAAAATCCAGATTTCTCTTTGAATTCTTCAACATCAGATTCAGAGAGTTTAGAAATGGATAGTAAAAATGAAAATGCCAAAAGGCCAATTGATGAGGTTAATGAAGTGATTGATGTTGAGGTCAGTAAAGAAAGCCCATTTCAAACAAAGAAAAGAAAAAAAACATCTCATGTCTGGAATGACTTTGAGATAGTTACAGAGCCGGATGGTAGTAAAAAAGCAAAATGCAAATTTTGCAAGACAAAGCTTGCTACTAAGGTTGGGGGTCCTACAACTCATCTTATTAGGCACTTGAACTCGTGTCCACGTCGTCTACTGGTTGATAAAAAACAAAATATTCTAAGTGTAGGAAAAGGAGGACTGGGAAGTGAACCAAATATTGCAAATTTCAAGTATGATCATGCAAAGGTTAGAGAAGCTGCTGCTCACATGATACTCGTACATGAATATTCATTTAACATGATGGAGCATGAATTTTTCAATCGGTTCATGAATACGGCCACCCCGCATTATCAAAAGATATCGCGTACTACGGCGAAGAATGATTGTGTGGCAGTTTATGAGATGGAGAAGAAAAGGTTGAAAACAACATTTAAAAGTGTTAACAAAGTTAGTATCACGTCAGATTTCTGGAAGTCTGGTCAGCAGATCGGTTATATGTGCCTTACAGGACATTTTATCGATTCTGAATGGAAATTACAGAAGAGGATCTTGAATTTCTGTGATGTGCCACCTCCTCATACTGGCGTTGTCAAAGCTGATACTATTTTTCAATGTCTAATTGATTGGGGCATTGAAAATAAAGTATCAACTGTTACTTTTGACAATGCAAGTAATAATGATGCAGCTATCAGGATTTTGAGAGATAATTTCACCATTAAAAGTAAACTGTTTTTTGGTGGGAAGATCTTTCATGTACGATGTTGTGCACATATTTTAAACCTCATGGTGCAAGATGGGCTTAGTGAAATCCAGAATGTGATTGAAAATGTTCGTGAGAGTGTTAAGTACTTAAAGGCATCAGAGGCACGGCTTCTCAAATTCAGTGAGATTGTGAAACAGTTGCAATTGCCTTCAAGGAAGTTAATTTTAGATGTTCCCACACGTTGGAACGCAACATATGCTATGTTGGAAGCGGCAATAAAATTCAAGGAGGTGTTTCCAAGATATCAAGATAGAGATCCCAGTTATAGATGGTTGCCTAGTTTAGAGGATTGGAGTAGAATAGAGGAGGTGTGTCAATTTTTAAAAGTTTTTCAGGTTGTGACAAACACTATATCTGGAAGTGTGTACCCAACTTCAAACATGTTTTTGCCTGAAGTATGGAAGATAAAAGAAGCCTTAAGTGAAAATTCATTGGATGAAAATATTTATATGCGATCAATGGCCAACAAAATGAAAGAAAAGTTTGACAAGTATTGGGGTGAATGCAATCTTTTGATGGCCATAGGTGCAATTTTGGATCCAAGGTACAAAATGGTGCTTATTAAGTTTTGCTTTCCCAAAATATATTCCGAGCTAGAAGCATCAAAAAACATTGACATAGTGCGTAAGGCATTATATGATTTATTTAAAGAGTATGTAGAAACTTATACTTCCACCAACTTGGAGCAAGAAGTGAATGTAACAGTTGCAGCTATTGATTGTGAGTCTAGTCACACTTCTAAGTTCAAAAGTAAAGGAAGGCTTGAATTTGATCTTTTTGTTAGAAAAAATGAATGTGTTCAGCCTTCAAAATCTGAATTGGACATGTATTTAGAAGAAGGTGTTTTTATTTGTCATGGTGAGATGGATCACTCTTTTGATGCAATAGAATGGTGGAAAGTCAATAATCTCAAATTTCGCATTCTATCCAAAATGGCAGTTGATATTTTGTCAATTCCTATCACTACGGTTGCTTCTGAGGCTGCTTTTAGCACTGGAGGTAGAACTATAGATCCATATCGTGCATCATTATCTACAAAAACGGTGGAAGCTTTGATTTGTGCTGGCGACTGGGTACGTTCTATTCATGGAGTAAAAAAAGTATTAAATGTAAGTATTTTTGAACTTTCTAATATAACTTCCATTCTCTTATATTTGAAATTAAATTGAAATGATTTTTCTTTTTATTTTTTATTTTTCAATTTTTGTAGAGAACAACGGAAGATATGAAGGAGATAAAACTACCTTAATCATCCCACGAATGGTAAGTAATTTTTTTCCCATTTGTATAGATTACTAACATACTTAATTAAATTATAATTCTTGATCTTATTTTATTTCATTTATGTCTAGGTTGGAACTTTTTGGTGATTTTGATTTTGGAAAACAAAAAACCTGCATAATATTGTTATATGATCCATTTTGGGCAGTCCCTTGACTAGAAACTATTTCTTTTGGTAAGTAATTTTTTTTTTTTTTTTTTTTTTCCATTAGTATAGATTACTAACATACTTAACTGAATTCTAATTCTTAATCTTATTTTATTTCATTTATGGGTAAGTTGGAGCTTTTTGGTGATTTTAATTTTGGAAAAGAGAAAACCTGCATAATATTATTACATGATCCATTTTGGGCGGTCCCTTGACTAGAAACTATTTCTTTTGGCAAGTAGATTTTTTTCTCATTTGTATAGATTCCTGACATACTTAACTAAATTCTAATTCTTAATCTTATTTTATTTCATTTACGGATAAGTTGGAGCTTTTTGGTGATTTTGATTTTGGAAAAGAGAAAACCTGCATAATATAGTTACATGATCCAATTTGGGCAGTCTGGAAACTATTTCTTTTGGTAAGTAAATTTTTTTTTTTTCATTTGTGTAGACTACTAACATACTTAACTAAATTCGAATTCTTATCTTATTTTATTTTATTTCATTTATGTGTAGGTTGGAGCTTTTTGGTGCTTTGATTTTGGAAAAGAGAAAACATGCTGTTGTATGATCCATTTTGGGCAATCCCTTCGCTGGAAACTATTTCTTTTGGTAAGTAATTTTTTTTTTCTATTTGTGTAGATTACTAACATACTTAATTATATTCTAATTCTTAATGTTATTTTATTTCATTTATGGATAAGTTGGAGCTTTTTGGTGATTTTGATTTTGGAAAAAAGAAAACCTGCATAATATAGTTACATGATCCATTTTGGGTAGTCTGGAAACTATTTCTTTTGGTAAGTAATTTTTTTTTTTTTCATTTGTGTAGACTACTAACATACTTAATTAAATTCTAATTCTTATCTTATTTTATTTTATTTCATTTATGTGTAGTTTGGAGCTTTTTGGTGCTTTGATTTTGGAAAAGAGAAAACCTGTTGTTATATGATCCATTTTGGGCAATCCCTTCGCTGGAAACTATTTCTTTTGGTAAGTAATTTTTTTTTCTATTTGTGTAGATTACTAACATACTTAATTATATTCTAATTCTTAATCTTATTTTATTTCATTTATGTATAGGTTGGAGCTTTTTGGTGATTTGGTGATTTTGATTTTGGAAAAGAGAAAACCTGCATAATATTGTTATAAGAAGTAAGTTTCTATTACTTTTCTAGTGCTGCTGAGTTGTATGTTTCATTTATTGTTATTCTGAATTCATAGGCTTTCTAAATTCTTTATAGGTCTCTTCCACATATTCCTAAAATTTATCTTCTAAAGAACCCATTCCTCCAGGTTGCCTCTTCCTTGAGAATTGAAATTAGCTGAGCTTTTTCTGTGTTGCTTGACATTGCATCTGAAAGAGATTTGAAGAAGTTTCTGTCGGTATGTTACTGGTATTTACTTTTTTATTTTTAATATCTTTTTTCCCCTTTACTAGTTATTGTGCATTGGTAGGCTACATAATTGTTGCAGTGGTTATTCTTCTTTAGTTAATCTGCAATGATTCTTCCGCAGAAAAATATACCTAAAAAAGTAATTCATGATAGTAATAAATCTTTGAAAAAAAAGATTATGAATGTTGTACTATTCTTCTTGAGTTGTGAAATATTAACTTCTTCCACAGATAAATTTAGAAATTGTTTATATTACGGCTATCTGTTAAATGTACATTTTATGTCTTTGTTTCCTTTTATGGCAGGTAACTAAGGAATGTTTGCAAAAAGGCATTGCTGTTTGCAAGGATGGTGCTTTGTTTAGGAAAATCAGAAAGAAAATCAGGTATATATATATTCTTGATGGTGTCAATATTAACAAATTTCTTCCAATGAAGATCTTGTTAGTGTGCAGTACCGGTCAAAAATACTAGAACTTAATGGGGATTTTATATGGTTTCGCATATGTGGAATACCATGGAGTCATTGTTGTTTTATATATTCTTTTTCTTTTTCTGGCATTGCAGTTCTGTAAACATTTATTTATTTATTTATTTATTTTTTCCTTTTTGAAATGTTTCAATTGTGCTTATTCCTAGAACAGTTAGTACTATTTTTATAGCTTTGAGATGAAAGTTCAATGTTTGACTTCCTATATGGTTGCTATCAAGGATGCAGATTTTTCTAATGTGTATGCTGTGTTTTGTTGTTTGCCACATGGAACCGCACAGGTCCTTTAATAATTCTGTGACATGATTTCATTCATGCAATTAGAAAATTTATTTTATTTTATTTTTGATAAGTGCAATCAGCAAAATTGTGACCCACTGAATTCTTTTTCTGAAAGTTGAAAAACATTTAATCCGCTGACTTCTGCAAGCTGCAAACTATACATACAAACATGAGTGATCACCATTCAATGTTGCAAACTAATTTATGTAACTAGCATTACATACTGTTGATCATTTGCTTGAATGTAATCCTTGAATTTGTGTCTAGTGACCTGTGACCACCATGGGCTTAGTCAAGTGGCATGTCGTTCTCCTTCCAAATGAAAGACCAAGGAGAATGTAACTTTAATGTAATTCTTGAATCTGTGTCTAGTGATTACCAGTCAATGTTGCAAACTAAAGCTGTACTATATTTCCTTGTATTGCCTTTGTATTGGATTTCCTGTAGGAGGTTTCTTTGTATTGCCTTGTATGGCTAACTTGGCATTACCAAGGAGAATGTTCCTTAGAGGGTGCTGGATTGACTTATGAGTTATGATGTACATATTTTTTCATTTTGTGGGTTCTGTCAATCGGGGGAATTGGTGCAACTGCTTTGCGAATTTTTTTTCTTACATTGAATACATAAATATTTATTATAAATGTTGTACTATTTTTTGATGATCATAATTTTCAATGAAACAGCTTTCGTATTGCTTCATACGGTGCATACAGAGTATTGAGGACCAAGTTGATCACTTTGCAGAAAAGGCAAATATTGAAATCAAGTAATAGTATGCAGTTTTTGATGCCAAAGTTGTGATAAGATTCCAAGAGGGCAATTAAAAGACAAGAAGAAGGCTTAAGAGAAGTTGATGTTTCCTTTTTGATAGACAATTGGGTGGCTATGAGTTTTTATGTATGCCTAGAATATTAGTTTTCAGTTTTCTTTATAATATTTCTAGTGATTGGGTTCTCAATTTGGATGAAATTTTACTTTCCTAGCTTGTTTCTAGTTTGTACTCTGTAGGTTTCCTGAGACCTCTATGGCAAACACAATGAATATTGTAATGACACAAATATAGCAATTTGTTGTTATTGTTGTGTTTTTTTTTGCATGATAGTGTGTATGTGGCCTGTAGAATACTAATTAATTTTGAATTTTAATTTAATTTTTTTGTTAAACGAGCCGAGCCCGAACCGAGCCCGAGCTTTTAAAATCAAGACGAGCCCGAGCCCGAGCTCAAATTTTTGAGCTCGTCACGAGCCAAGCCCGAGCCCGAGCTGATCCTATAAACAAACGAGCCGAGCCCGAACAGCCTAAAGCTCGGCTCGGCTCGGCTCATTTGCAGCCCTAGTTGAGAAGCAGACTCTGGCACATTATGAGTTATGGTTGCAATAATTGCATCTTCCTGACAGAGTGCTAATTCAAATGTCTTAGTTAAACTCATCAGACGAAGCAAACGAACACCAACTTTTATATTAGCACGAAGTCCAGAGAGGAAAAAACTAACGTGATGCGACTCAAGTAAACCCAGAACCCTATTAGTAAGTCGCTCATACTCAGTAATAAATTCACGAATAGTGCCCATTTGAGAGAGTTTGGCTAGCGAACCACAAGGGTCAATATGTTGTCGAAACCCAAAGTGTGTACATATTACACGAGAAAATTGTTGCCAATTCAAAATACCGAGGGATTGTTTAATCCAATGATACCAAGAAATAGCATCTCCTTGAAGATGCACTGCCGCCAATGGAAACATTGGTTCATCTAAAATACCATTGAGTTGTTGATATTGTTCATCTTGAAACAACCACCTTTCAGGATCAACACCATCAAAATTTAGAAAATTGATTCGGAGAGTCCGACCTTAAATAATCGGATAAGCCCGCTGATGAACATCGTCGCCACATTGGATAGTTGGATTAGGGTTAACATCGGTTTGAAGAACACGCTCGTCACGTTGAAGCGGTCGAGCAAGGTTATCGCCTTGTATTGGTATGTGATCATCACGTTGGGGATGAACATGATTTGGTTGAGATACTTGTCGATCTGTTAGGGCCAACACAGCTATTTGAAGTTGCTAAAAACTAGCTTGATTATCACGCACCATCACATCCATCCTAGTAGTAAGGGCAGCAACCTGTTCTACAAGTTCCTTGACCGTCATATTGAGAATACTAGCAGTAAAAAAAATAAATAAATAAATAAAAATAAAATAAAATAAAAAATAAAAATTTGGGCGGTCTCTGAAGTGGTTGATTGGAGATCAGCCACCAATAATCCATTGAATTGGAGATTAGCCACCAAAGTTTTTACTTTTTATTTTATTTAATATCCTAATTCTATTACAATAGCATTCTTATATAGATGAATTAAGAAAATAAATACAGAAATAGCATAGTACCTAAAATAATTAAATACTAACATAATTAAATACTAATTAGGAAAGAAGACTGCCTAATTGGTATTAGTTTCCTAACAGGGAGAGAAAGAGATGATGGAGCATTGTGGTGGTGATAGGGTTGAAAGTGCAGAGAAATTTTAGAGAGAGTTTGTAAAACCAAATAATGAGTAAGGGTGTAGATGCCCAACTAATTAAGCGGGGTAGTTTTGGAATTTTATTTTTTAAAATTAGTTGACTTTTGACATGGTTGACAGTCAACTAACATAAGGGGATCTCAAGGCAAATTTAATCAAACCTAAAGGGAGGTTTAGGCTTCTTTTTTTACTAGTTTAATCTATGAGCAATAAAAGTAAACCTAAGGGGGTGTGAGAATATTTAACCCAAAGTTAAAAGTAAAGAGGGATTTATGCAAATTTTCCTAGTTATTATTTTTATAAAAAAAAAATACTAAAAAGTAAACTAAGTAGCCTAAGGAAGGCGTGTAGTCATTTTCCAAGACAGCCAAGTTTTACGCATCTAATCCGAACGCCCAAAAAATCCTTCATGTACAGCGGATCTGAAATAAGAAAATCATAAGCAGAAAAAGGAAGGCATTATCAGTTTCGCCCATCTTCTCTAATTCCGAAAATATTTTTTTCACCATAATAGAATTAACGTCTACCTTTCTCAACCACAATATTAGATCTATCCAATGCATTTGCAATTTTAGTCAGTGAGTCAGTAATAACACTAATATTTTGGTTTAGTTCATTAGATTTTGAAATCTTTTTTTAACTTTTACTACTCTTAAAGGAAGATGCAGATGCAGAAGGCACCTGTGTAGTTCATGACTGTCGAACACTTATACATTCAATTTCCTCTAAATTTTTGAGATTGATCTCATTTCATGCCACCATTTCATCTATTTTGTCAATACTTGTGTCTTTTCCTCGCGTTGCTTAGCGACAATTTTTCTCTTTTGCACTTTTAGCTCCTGATCCTGTAGCTGTATCTTTTTCAAAAATTACACGTAGAACATTTTCTGAATATTGTGCACATTTAGACAACTCTATCCATGTAGAAAGTATTAAAAAAATGTAACTTTATGTTATGCAAAACACAAAAGACAATATTTTCTTCAACACTTTCATAACTTAATTAATGTATTCTATATACGTATTTCAACATCTATTGTTTTAGTATTATCATTCTAAGCAAAGCCACTACCGCACTTGAAATGATTTTGAACATTGTCTTTGTTTACCTTTTTAGTAAAATGCAAGATCATTGCTTCAATCACAACCATATATGCTGAAGGGTTAAAATATTTATCAACATTTTTTTCCTTGTGTTTTTTGGTCAAGCAAAACATTAAGTAGAAATTCATCCATTTGTTGTATCCATACAAGTAATACTAATGCATTCATTTTTTCATTAGAAACAATGGTATCCATTTCTTAAGATGTAAAGGAACATTCACAAGTAAATTATATAAAACATTATTTGTATTCAATGAAAAATAAGAACTATAATAAAATTAATAAAGCAAACAAGGTAAGAAGTACACAATTTCATAAATAATAATAAAAAACAAGAAGTTTCACATTGTAAAAGATTTGAAAATTTCTTTCAAATGCATCAAATTATCTTAGAATTATTGATTAGCCACATAATATGTCCACATGTTTGCCGTTATGAGATCTCTTCGCATTGATTCTTGTCTACCCTCTTCACTTAGGTCATTCTTTGGCATTTCTTGTCGATGTTCATCCTCATAATTCATAAGATCTTCATTGACTTCTGCAACTAATCTTTCATCTGGTTCTATTTCCAAGAGAAAATTGTGTAAAATATAACAAACTAATATAATTTCAGTTTTTGTTTTGAAACTGTATTGTGGTTCAGTTCCGTTGGCCAAAATTGGAAATCTTGTTTTTAACAAACCAAATGCCCTTTCAATTGCATTACATAAAGAAGCATTTGTGTGATTAAATATCTCTTTTGAAGTTCCTGGACGACGTGTTGAATAATCTTTTAAGTGATAAAGCGTTCCTCGATGAGGAGTGATAAATCTATATTTTAGAGCAAATCTTGCGTCACAAAGAAAAGTTTACCTTTTTTAGAGCAAATCCAATAGGGAAGAAATGATAATGATAGCACAAGATCCGGAATGCAGATACGTGTGCTAGCCGTCCATGCTCCCCCACGTCATCGCACTCAACCACCAATTTTACCACCATCATCATTTATTAATTTCACCCTAAATAATAGGGTGAAATTAGGGGGCAGATGAAAAGACCAAAAACTCATTGGGCCATTTTAGCCTAATAGGTTTAAATTAAATCAAACTCGGCCAATCCTATCTCAGAAGGAAACGAATCCTCAAGGAATAAAGTCCAAAAGGAAGAGTCAGGCCCATTGAGGCCAAACCCGGAAGCCAAGCAAATAGCTTAGGGTAGAATATAGACTACTATAAATAGAAGGAAAGGAGCCTGAAAGAGGCAGAGTTGTTTGGAGTGTAAGAAAAACTTTCCAAAAATAGAAGAGAAAATTTATTGCATCTTCAAGCGTTATCTACTACAGCAGCAGAGTATGTGGCGATAATAGAAGCCAGCAAGGAAATGATTTGGTTACAAGGTTGTTAACTGAGTTGGGATTCGAACAGGTGAAGAATATTTTGCATAGTAATAGTCAGAATGCGATACATTTGGCAAAGAATTCAACATTTTATTTAAGGACTAAGTGTACAGACAAATTTTATTGTCTGCGAATAAAAACAAAATAGGGGCAAAAATAATATTTTATTAATTTATAAAATTTGAGTACAATCCTCTGTAATAATATTCTTTACACAGAATAAGGTCCTCTGATTCGATCTCCTTTGTTGGTTGGTTGGATCCAAGGGCTGCACGAGCTTGATCTTAAATCACCATGGAATTTGGATGAAGAACGACATGATTTGATGTGCTTGTTGTTGATCACGGTGGAATTTAGATGAAGAACGGCACGATTTGACGTGCTTGTTGTTGATCACCGTGGAATTTAGATGAAGAACGGCATGATTTGATGTGCTTGTTGTTCTTCGTCTTCGAGAGGATTTGTTGAATTTGGTGAAGAACTGCACGACTTTGAATGTGCTTGGAGTTCTTCGCCTTCAGTTTTTCCTCTGGATTTCTGATTCTCTCAATTTCTAGACCTTCTGGATTTCTAAGCCTCTGGATTTCTGGACGTTGAATTTGTGTCCCCTCCTTCTTCCTCCAGGCCTCTATTTATAGGCTTCTTGGGTTAATAGGATAATGACACATGTCATCTCCTGATAAGGATAAAATTATAAATGGGTCAAGCCGGTTATATTAGGATAATTATCCTTAAAAATAATCATTCCAAATATATTTTACTAGGAAT